ACTTAGTTGCCAAGCCTTTGATTCAGAGTGAGGCTAAAGATGACCTTGTTGTGATAGAGACCTGTATCTAGTTAGCATGATAACAAAGTGATTTACATTTGAAAGGCAGCAAGGTTTGTATCATAGCAAGGTCATCTCTAGCCTCACTCCCATTCAAAGGCTTGGCAACCAAGCACACAACTGTAAAATGGACTATTGTGTTGAAGAATTCAGATCTTAACGAAGGAGAGTCGCATTCATTAACGTAATTGCAACCACCTCTCGTTGTAACTTTCTGAGTTACTTTTTGTAACAAATTGTTTTTAGGCAGCGTTTCAATCGTTTTAAAAACAAATTTAATATCACCAAATTTATTTCGAAATCAATTTTGGCAGAAAAACCATAGTCATTTGAGAGCAAGAGAGAAGAAAGAATGAATATTATTCATCGCCAAAAGGTCGTGACCGAAGTCTTTGCTCAAAAACTCTGACCGGCCGGCAGAATGAGATATATTTGTGAAAACCTGCAACGGAGCTTGAGATGTTCTGGAAAGTGACTCGAGCGAAACGGATACCGCCCTCTATGAGAGGGCCGGATGGGGAGAATACTGCCCGCTCTCGGAACTAACCAGATTGCAGGATTTCTACAAGGGTGTAGCCAAGGGGGGTCCTAGGGTGCCCGTGACCCCTCCTCGGTGGGCCTTCTTTAGATCAAACAACCTACAATATTCAGGTAACGAAAACGCCATGACAATATCTTGGCCGTAAAAGCCATTGTCGAAAAGCCCACTTTTTTAAAATTTGTTGTTTTTGCAAAGTATTTTCGTCAACGGCTCTTGTATTAATGCAAACTAAGACCTCAAATATCGAGCTTTTCCCAACGCCAGTTGACAACACGGCCCCCAGGTCCTTTCAAGATACCAGTGTATAAATTGCTTCTCGTTGCGATCTTAATGCGCACTACATGCTAATTTCCGAAAGATTAAATGCTTCCTTGAGAGCGGAATCGAAACTTACAACGTCATCTGTAGAGTCTATGATCATGTCCTCTCTTTACTGCAAGAGCGAAATGTCCGAATGACGTATTTGGCTTGTGATTGACAGATAGAGCAAAATTGCACCAATTAGCAAAATTGCAAAACAAAGATAAGTTCGGACAGGCGTAATACTCACTTCCCCACCCCAGCCCCTCTCTTTATTTTTGACCGTCACCTGCACCTTTAATCCAAATTACTTTCTCATCCCAGCCTTCTGCTTCCATTAGAGTCTGAGACGGTGGTCAGTTTTCGCTGAAAAAATACTGAGCACTCACTCGCCAAAATTACGCTCGCTCTGCAGGCTGTTTAACCATCTGTTTATCAAAATCTAGCTTTGAAAGAGTTAAAGAATAAACTGCAACTCGGAAAAGGTTTATTTCAACGAAAATCGTCGGTTTGATATGACATTTATCGTGCACTGTAAGACTTGAGATCACCGCAACACAGCAACGCGAGTTGTTTTTCTATGTAATACCGCATGAAAAAGGTCAACACCACAACAATATGATTGGTTTGTGACACATGAAAAATGTGGCAATCTGATTGGTGCGAGCGACATACTACTCATTACGCTTACATTACACTGAATTATTGATTTATTTCTTTGAAATAATTCAATTATGGATAGGACTTTCTCCAATGAAAGAGCGGATCATTTTTCACACTTGCTGAAACTAAACTCGGTTTTCCATTCA